GAGGGACCCCACACTGGAGCAGGGGAAGAGTGTGAGGAGTCATCCCACTGAGGAGGAAGGAGTGCCAGAGACAGTGTGCTGCAGTCCAGCTGAGGAGCAGGAGTGATAGAGTGGCTTTGGTGGGTACTTGGTGTCCAGCCAGGGTCAACACAGCACAGTCAACAAACAATCTCTTGCTATTAGGAGTTGAGAGACAACAATGCTGCCACGAGCGATACCAATAGCCACTTGCCTCTCATACCAAAATCTTCACCCCACCTGATGGCTACAAGTCACATACTGTATGTCTTACAGACATAAAGGAAGAGGGAGAACTAGCAGCATTTCACAGCCAGAAAATAACTTATCTCAAGGGTCTTATTCCAAAGCAGTATGAAGTCGTGGGAGGGACTTGGGTGGGAGGCATGATCTGGCACCTTCAGCCACCCTGTGACTCCACATTAACCACAACTGCTATTATGAAGGACAGCTGTAACTAGTTAGAGCTCTGGGAAAAACGTCTGGATTAGCAGGTTTTCTGGGGGTTTTCTTAGTAGAGACAGCTCTTCTCCTCAGCTGCTACAAGGGATATTGTGATGGTATCTTCTTTTGGGCCAGAACTGAGGAGTTTTATTTTTTTGTGTGCTTACACTCGTTAGCATTATCTCTCCCATTGTTTTGCTTAAAATCAGGCTATTGTTACATTTGACGTTAGCCTGCACTTCCAATTAGTGCACTTTCAGTTAGTTTGGAGACTTGAGTATGACATGCTTCAAGGTTACTTTCTGTGTCGTGGCTTTTGCCATGTACTGCATACTTGCCAGTGGGGTTTCTGACTGTCTCCATTTGGATGTCATTATTTTAAATAACTGAGAAGTGATCTAAAGTGACAGATGCAGAGCCACCAAGCATTACCATTTTGGTAGCACTGTGCTTTGACCCCATTGAAATTTTAGTAGTAGATTTTGTAGTAGTATACTCTTCTAGTAGCAGTCTTGTTTTTGGTCAGACCTGTAACAAGACAATCCCCTTGTGTGCAAAAGTCAATTGAAGAATGGAAGTATCACCTTTCATTCCTTTTATTGATGATAATTATAGCAGAGAGGGTACGAACAAAAGTAGACTTGAGCAGGAAGTCAGAGCAGAGTGATGGTTAGAAATCTCCATTTCACGTTTCCAAGTTAACCCCAAGTTTCTGCCCTTAAATTCTTCCTGGAGTTCTACTGTCTCAAGTATGCTAACAAGGTATCACTTTCAACTCCTGCAGTCCCCTCTGCCCCAAGCCCCTGAGACGCTCAGTTTCACATTCTCACTTTATCACCTGCGTTGTTTATCACCCACACAAAATCTGCCTGATGGGTTTTTTTTTACCCAATGCTGCCAGCTCTGAGAGCCATTCCATACTTCTTCTGACCTCTGTTGCAGTACATCTCGAAACTTATGTTGTGATTCTGTTTTGATCTTAGCAAGCTTTTAATGTCTGTTCTCTTGCCAGTCATTGTCACATTGTACAAAGTTTATCTTCTTTATGTGGGACATGCATGTGTGTGTGCACATGTGTCAGTTATACAACTGCTGCTTTATTATGCTATAGCTGACGAGTTATGTTTTGACATTTGTACATCTGTGTGCACATCTGCCATTCAGGATGAAGAATGCTTGTTTGTGCAGTTTGGGTTTCTTTTCGTTTTAAGAGATTTAAAAATAGAGATCAGTGCAGTTAATTCACTTAAATATCCACATGGGGTTTAATGAAACATGTCAGCGGTGATAGACAGACGTCTTTAATACTATATACAGAAATAATGCATCACTTACTAAGATAAAAAGTTTGAGGAGACTTCACTTTCAGGTGGTTCTGTATGTAGCTTACAACTTCTCACTGAAAAGTATGACTATGCACTGCTCAGTTGCTTTGTTCACTTTGCAGCGCCTCAGTTGCACGCTGACTGAGGGAGAGTGTTCCTATGGAGAGTACTAGGACATTGTTGCGTGGAAAAATGAATAGTGCAAAATAATGCAAGAAGTAGCAGGAACATGGGAGAATACACGTGTACAATTCCAGTATTTGCACAATTAAATGTACTGGGGGCAGCAGGAGGAGGGAAGGGTGTTCTTGCTGTAAATACAGTGACGTTTTTCTGTTAAGTTTTACTTTTCTGCCAAGGTTTTATATACTGGGAAATACTTGAGGAAAAATAAATTAAGAATTGGATTGCCAAAAAAAAAACAGAAACCAGAAAAATGGGAAATTTTAAAGAATGTGAATGTCATATTGTATGTTTGTTGGCTACTGTCTGTCAGTGTGAGTAGTGCTTGTGAAGTATTTTGCTATAAAGAAAAAAATATGATTATTCCATATGGATTGGCATGTATGTGCTTAAACCCTTTCTATAAATATTTGAATTAAAGGACACCAGATGTTGCACAGAAGCTGCTGCTGCTTTCTGAACTTCATGGTATATTCTTTCAAAACCCACAGGAAGTAGCTGAGGGAAAAAGTGTATTAATTAAGTTCAGAAATAGATTTTCCAGCTATAGAAAAATCTCCAAAGAAAATAGCGTTTGATCTTCAGAAATATGAGCTTGCTTGTCCCAGGAATCTGGTGGCAGCAAGCACAACTGTCACATGGGGATCAAAATTCAGATTTCAAGTTCTCAGAGCTAGGCTAGCCTGAAAGTAAGCCAGTCTGTGGCCTTTGGACCCATCTTTTGACTTGTCTCCTGTGGCCAGTGTTCATACTTCTGTAGACAGTCTACGGAGAAAACATTTTTCCAGTTTTTCTTGACCTGAAGAAATAACGTTGTAGTACCAGAGACTTGAGGAGAAAGGAAAGTACTAGAATTCCCAGATGCTCCACACTTCAAGGATGAAATATGAGCTAACATACCCAGAGTATATTTTGTAAGCTCTAGAACTACAGTAAAAGAAATACAAATGGGATTTGCTTTGCATTTGTTGAGGAACAAGTTTCATGTTTTGCAAACCTATTAAATATTTCTGCATTTGGAAGTACTGGCTCTGTTGTAACTGTACTGTAGTCTGCTGCTCTGTTTCCTTCAGACCAAAGCACTGAAGTGACTTCTGCACTAGTAGTTGGCATGAAGTGTCCGTCTGTCTTTATGCAATGAATACATAGCTGTTTACTAAGTGGCATAATTCTGCTGGAAGGAGATGTACATACAAACAAGTAAGATTCCACACGGAGCACTCTTACATCAAGAAAATCAGATACTTTAAACATGCATTGCTAATGTATTAGGTAGTGTTTGTGGTGGTTTGACCCCAGCCAGCAGTTAAGCACCCAGCAGCTGCTCACTCACCCCACCCCCACAGGATGGGGAAAGCATCAGAAGAGCAAAAGTGAGATAGTTCAATAAGTGAAGCAAAGCTCTGTGTGCAAGCAAAGGAGAATAAGGAATTTACTACTTCTCATTGGCAGGCAGATGTTTAGCCACATACTGGAAAGCAGGGCTTCATTTCACATAACGATTACTTGGGAAGACAAATGACATAACCACGAATATCCCCCCGCTTCCTTCTTCTTTTCTTGGGCTTTTATTGCTGAGCATGACTTGATATGGAATGGAATAGCCTTTTGGTCAATTTGGATCAGCTGTTCCAGGTGTGTTTTGTTCCCAGCCTTTTGCTCATGCCCTGCCTGCTTGTTGGGAGGGCAGAGTGAGAAACAGAGAAGGCCTTAATGCTGTACAAGCAGTGCTTAGCAATAACTAAAACATTGATGTGTTACCAACTCTAAAATATTTTAGTCACAAATCCAAAACACAGCACCATCTTGGCCGCTATGGTGAAATTTAACTCGATCCCAGGGCAGGGCCAGTACAGTCTCCACCCTTTATTCTCTACCATTTACTTACATGTGACTTGAACTCAATCTGTTGTGGTGGTGGCTCAGGACAGGAGAGGCAGTATGTTGTGTTGAGTTGTTGGACACCAAAACCAGCTCAGGCTGGGTCATGGGGCACTTGCCCAGTTCTTTACAAGGCTCATCATCTGTTGGTCCGGGTGGCTTCTGCTGTACTGCTTCCTGTAGTGAATAACTCAAATCACAGGTAGCAACAGGTATACATCTATCCATTACAGTATCACTAGGAGGAAGGTGGGAAGGTGTGTGTTTTCTCTCTCTCCCACAGAATTCTGCTGCAGACTTTTAAGAAATCTTCCTGCTAAATTTGTGTTTTACAAGCCTGTTAACACCTCCATTCCCTCACTTCAGAAAAACAGAAGTCAAAGCTGTCTTTGGAAAAGTCTTAGATACCTCTTTCTTTGTTCTTCAAGCGCATTGATGGCAAGAACCTGAAAATGAGATAGGTTTTACAGAATGTTGTACCTGTAACTTCTAATATATAAAAGAGGAAGTCAGAAGTGGAAGCAATTCCTGCTTTTCTCCTTTTTTCTTCAAATTAAAGCATGAAGATCATATTTGTTCTTTGACTCAGTCTACAGAGTTCCAGTATTTTACCACATCAGATTCAAGGTTGTTTGTCTTTTAAGACAAGGTTAGACCTTGCTTCTCAACCACATTTAATGTATATTCCTTCAGTACGTGCTGTGTCATTTTGCCTACTTTTATGGCATGCATACTGCACTTCTTGCAATCTGCTGTATTCCTTCATGCAGAACGCCTTCTACCAATGTGATGTTCTTTATTCAGGGGGTTCATGCATTTGCTTTGCATGTGTAAGAAATAATGAATGAAAAATCAGCATGTCTGATACGCTTTTAAAATAAAAATCACGTTATCCCTATTCAGTACCTGAGAAATAGCAGATTTACATGTCGGTTACATTTCTGTCAATGTTTGGGCAGTCAGATTTTTCCTCATTTAGAATGGCAGGAGAAATAAGAAATATTCAAATATTGTAGTGTCATAAGCTTTTCCTCTTGTTCAGTTAATAGTCCAGGATCACGTTTGTATGCATTATAGCATAACTGATACAGACATGTATAAGTATTCACTGTTCTGTTGACTTCATGCCTTCGCATTTATTTTGTATAGCCAAATTGTACTGCAACTGAGCGAGCCATTGCAAGACTTGCAACACACTCCATCTTGAAACCCAGATTTGTTGAACTTAAAGGTATGAAATATTGTATTAACTTGTTTATGACTTCAGTAGCTTACTGGTGTGTTACCTTGTTCTTGTATATTCCTGACATGAACAACCAGTATAAAAAGTAAAGTAAAAAAAAAAAAAAAGCTTCTGTAATTAACAACTAGCTGCATGAACCAAGTGTCACAACCTTATAGTCATTTATATTGGTTGAAACGGGCTTATAAATGACAGTATGCTATATGACGTTTAAGATACAGGATGTAGGACAAACAGGGCTTATAATGGGAACTTTAAACGTTGAACTGGTGTAATGGAGTATCTCTAAATTAAATAGGACTGAACCAGCAATGAACACAATAACATGCAGATACAGATGTAAAAGGAGCATTACAACTGGGTTTCCAAAGACAGCTAAGAGGTTTTGCAAATTACTCACTTAAACATCCCTGGAAGCTGTCCGCAGAATCGTTAGGGAATCTTTCCTAGTTCTTTAGGTTATCTCCTGTTCTCTTTAAACTCAAATTTTACACCTAAAATTGATGTTAAAAATGGTCAAGTCCTAGTAATAATGTCACAAAGTTACTTCTTTAATAACAGAGCATGTCAAATACCCATTTAATTATATCTGAGCAATTTACTGTTTCTTTGGAGTTTTTACACACAAAGCAATGCCCTAAATGAACGTGATTGTCAGCTGCAGATCACTTGCTGAAAGCAAATTCACAGTTAAACCCAAGTTTAGCAGTGTATTCAGTTGGTTATAATTTCAAGTCCTTTTCCTCACATTTCTTCCCCAGTGTGTTCAATAAATGATTGATAAGGACATTCAAAATATACTTACTCAATACAATATCTTTAACGTGCAAAAATGTTCTATTATATTAAAATAACCCATGTGTAGCTGCAACAAAGTATTTTTCTTCTGTCACTTGTATAGCTGCTGTAAAAGCTTTTAAGGATGCAAGAAAGAACCCAGCCAAAGCCACTCCTCTGAAGAAGACTAAGTCAGAAGAACACCCTAAATCAGCGCAACATTTCAGTAACAATTTGGATGACCAAGCTCTTAAACTAGCTCAAAAACAGCAAGGATGCAAACACAGAACAAAAATTAGTGTGAAAACGGAAACTGACAGGGTGGCTGAAGAGCTTTGTGAGAGTGGATCTGAGCAGAAAACTGTGGAAATGGAGACAGCAAATGCTTCAGAAGAATCTTCATTTCAGGCAATAGAAATGCAAGCAGTCACTCAGAATAAAACAGGAAAGAAACTTGGTTATCAAAAGAGGAAAGAAAATATAAGCATGAACAAACTAAATGCAATAGGAGAAATACTTAATGAAGATAGTGACGAGGAGTATCCTAATGAAGAGGAGTACTTTGACGATAGTACTGAAGAGAGGTTTTATAACCAGTCATCAGATTCTGACAGTGACAGCAGTGATGACTTCTTCATTGGCAAAGTAAAAAGAAAGAAAAAGATAGCAGCAGTTACTGATGTTTCTTCAGCAAAAGAAAAGGATAGACTTCAGAAAAACATAGTGAAGAAAGAAAAGAACTTTGTGCCTGGGACAGCACAGGATTTGATCCTGGAAGTAAGAAAGCCAGATGCAAAAGCAAGCAAGCTAGAATCAATGTTCTGCAGTTCTTTGTCTACCTCTAATCAGAAATCCCAAAACAGAAGAAGGTAAACCTTTTTCCCTTGTTATGTTCTCCATTCCCTTCCTCCTTCCCAGTAATGGAAATAATTTTGATTTTTAGTACCGCTTATCAAACAAGGAGAATTTTGGCCAATTGCAGCTTAGAACATTTTCACATAAACTATCCTACAGTCTTCTGGTGCTTTCTTGACAATTATATATTTTTCATATTCACGTTAACACTGACATATACATAGGATTCCTAAATAGACTTGCATCCAAATTAAATCACTGCTGAATGCTTCTCTTTTTACTTCTTTATTAACAAAGAGGAAACAATATGTAAGAGTTTTGAACATTATGCTTGAAAAGTCATTGCATGAGTGCTTTGGTGATTACAGGTCTTTACTCACAGGTGTTTGTCATCTTACATTTCTTGAAAAATCCTAAATTCTCTTTCTGTTTTTAGAAATACCCAAGACCAGCCTCTCAAAAGTGGAAGAGCAGGTATGTATTACTTAGTCTGGTAAAGTTACAAGAATAAAAACATCTTAAGATGATATTGCCTCTGCTGTCTAATCATGCTAGGATTTTTTTTGTTTCGTTTTGATTCTTTGGCACATGTTCAACATTTGTTGTTAAAATGGTCAAACTGTTGTCAAAATTTAACTTTCATCTGTGGATATTGTTTCTCATTTCCTATTGTTGAATATTAGAAATACTTAAGAGTTTACATAGGAAAGTGCTTTTCCATCTATCTTGTGTCTGTTGAGCAGTTTGTGTCACCTGTACACAGGTAAAGGTGTCAGATTTTGATATTTGACAAGTGATTTATCTCATGAGTAATTCCTTCAATAGCTCCTTCATTATTTTATTCCATTTATAGTATATGGCACCTTTTTAGAATTCATTGAATCGAGGATATAATTTCCGTCACGTTGAATTACATTGTGTCATATCTCATTGGTTTATTGTGAAGAAAAAAGCTTAGACTCTGCTGTGTATTTTCTATACAAATTTTGAATGTGACCAGTAATAATAAATCTTAAGTATCTGCAGTCTACCAAGGGACAGTTTACTGGGCTGCAAGATGAGGAAATCTTGCTGTGAACATACAAAATAATGTCTTCCCTATAGCTCATTAAGAAATTCTTGAAACTATCTGCAATCCCAAGGTAGTTTTAGCCTATTTTGATGGAGGTTCATTATGTAGTTAATGTGTTATTTTGTACTTCTTGCACAGCTTTTAGAAAGGAACAACAGCTCAAGAAGCAACCATTTGCAAAAGCTGCAGGTTTTAAATACAACAATAAGAAAGCATGTTTGGAGCAGCCTCTTCATCCATCATGGGAAGCCAGCAAGAGACGCCGGGAACAAATGTCTCAGATTACAGCATTCCAAGGGAAAAAGATTAAATTTGATGACTAGACTCTATGAAAAATTAGATTTCAAAAGAAGATTCTTGCGGATTTGCATCTCGTGGTATTTTCTTACAAAGTAACAGCTGCTGTTTGAACGTTTTTGTTACACTGTCCGTATGTTTTGCAGCCTATAAAATAGCAACTGCTAGAACTTACCATCTGTTAATAATGAAGATTGCTTCATTTATTCAGTGTAGTGTCTGTGGATTCATGTATGGTCATACAGTGTTGGTTCGTTAAGTCCCATTACATAGTGCCACCCTTTATGAAATACACCCTAACATGTATGAATGGTTTTTAGGAGCATCATTTGTGCCCTGCGGGAGTAGTACAGGTTCTTTGGAGGTTTTTTTTTTTTAAATGTACTTTAAACTATATGAGGACTTGGATGTCAAAAGAGAGGGGAAAATACAAAATAATGAGGTGATAATCCTAGGACTACATTATCAAATACACCTCAATGGAGAAAAAGTAAGAGAGGCTTAAACTTGAACAGACTTCACAAGGTCATGAATGTATCAGGTAGCTGGAAAAGCCCATCAGTAGTATGCATGAAATGAAAATTTCTGGAGAGCAATAAAAAAATATCCTGTTAAATTGTGGTCTCTGTCCTTTGATTATACTGCTGATTTGAAGAATTGGAAGAGTGCCTTTAATACTATTGTTCTGGAGGATGTGTCTGGGTGCTCCAACATGTCTGTCTTGCACTTTCTGAAAGAATGCTGAAGAACTGAAAGGTCTTTCTAAATTAAGAAACGTTTGACTTTTAAGTGCCGTTCTGAGTTTGAGAGTTCATTTGATTGGGATATGAGGTAAAATCGTGTTTTTCTACTTTTCCTACTGCTTAACTGAAACAAGTTCTGAACTTGAAATTAATTTTTAACAGTGATGTTTATTTAATCATCTTTACTTTCATAATCTTGTATTTTTCATAATCAAATTAATTCAGAAACTTGGTAAATGACTGCAGTGGGTGTAAGATAGCACACTGTACAATTCATGTAGCATTTTGTAATGCCTAAGAATAGCCCTGCATCAGACCAAAGGTCCATCTAGACTAATACTGTCAACAGTAGTCAAAAAGGGATGCTTTAAGCATTTGGATAGAGGAAGCACACAGTGATATGTCGTCTGACTTCCAGCTCGTCAAGCTTCCAATTTTATAGCTCAGGGACATCTTGTGAAATTGTAGCTTATTGTGTTTAATAATCCTCAATGGATTTCTTTTCTGCAGATTTGTCTGCTCTTAAATCCATGTAAATTTATGGAATCTGTAATCCCTTAAGGTGTAGAAGTTCTTCCTAATAGTACACTTATGAAAAACAACCTTTTTCTGTGTCTCGGTAAAGAAGGCCAGCAGCCTCCTGGGCTGCATTAGAAAGCGTGTTGCCAGCAGAATGAGGGAGGTGATCCTTGCCCTGAACTCAGCACTGCTGAGGCCACATCTGAAGTGCTTGGTCCAGTTCTGGGCTCCCCTGTACACCAAGGGACAAGGACAAACTGGAATGAGTCCAGCAAAGGGTGACCAAGATGATTAAGGGCTTGGAGTACATGACATGAGTAGTGACTGAGAGAGCTGGGATTGTTCAGGAGAAGAGAAGGCTCGGGGGGATCTTGTCAGTGTGTATAAATACAGGGGTAAGCAGCGGGGACTGTAAAGATTGAGCCCAACTCTCCTCAGTGCTATTGAGTGGCAGGACAAGAGACAATGAGCACAAATTGAAATAGAAGAAATTCTGCTTAAACAAGAAAAACCTTTTCCACTGTGAGAGTGGTGGAGCACTGGCACAGGTGCCCAGAAAGATTGTGGAATCTCCATCCTTGGGAGATAGTCAGAACCTGACTGGACATAGTCGTGGGTAGGCATGTGGAGGTGACCCTGCTTGGAGAGGGGGTTTGAACTAAACAACATCCAGAGGTCTATTCCTACCTTATCTACTCCTTGTGATTTTGTATACTTAGGACTGAGTCAAGCCGTGACTCCCTAACTATCAGTGGCTCCACAGGCGAGTTATTGGGTGTGTCTAAAACATGTAGTGACGGTGTATTCCATTTGGTGTGACAATAAAGTCAAATGGCAGGAACAAGTTGAGGTTTTTTAATGTATTGTTGCTGGTATGGCCACATCTGTCTGTCTCCTGCAGACTTTGTATCTTACTATATATAGCCCAGCATTTTCTGCTCATTCTCCCATCCCGTGTTAAGTTCTTGACCCTAAACATTCAGGTTAGTCCATTTTGTATTATTATCTAGGCGTGTCTTTGCCCCACTTCGTTAGCCTTTCTTTTCTGCACTCTAAACAAATGTCAGTATATGTGGTATTATCTTCCTGAATGGCATTGCTGCTCATAGCAGTTAGAAATTCAACTAACTTTCCATTTCCCAGTGGTTTTCACTGTATCATATGGAACAACATTTAAGGCCAGAAGCATCAAAACATAACATGGAAACGTGTTTACTGTGGTTTTGTAGGGAAGGACCATATTTTGTAGAAAAAGCCATGTGTTTACCTGCTTTATACAAATTCTTTAAGTTTTCCAGATACAAATGCTTATCCTTAATGCATTAAATAAATAAGTAAATAAATCCTAACTGAATGCGATGCCAGGCAGATGTTTGGTATGTGACTAATCTGGTTGCAATAAAAGGCAAGAAAAATTTCTTTTGGTAGATGTCATCAGCTATGATACAGTTTTTCATGGGCTGCCTATCTTTGTTTTAGCAGATGAGCACCCTATTTTAAGAGTTGGTTAAAGACCAAAAAGTTAAAGATGGCAAATAGTTGGGGGGGGGGGGGGAACAAAACCTCTTTAAGGAGCTTATGTTCTGAAGTGCTTTTTTGCATGTGCTTACAAGATCTAGGAGCATTGGTTTATCTTGGCATTTGAGCTAGTTTCTTACTCCATTCTTACAGCTGTAATTTGTGGCTGTAGAATTCTTCCTGAAGGAAGCCTGACTTACCAAAACATCTCTTTTTTCATCTTCAAAAACACTTAAGCTCTTACTTTAAAGCAAAGAAAAAGATAAGACTCTGAACATGAATGAGAGAACAAAATGAGTTTACTGGCAATGCTTCATCTTTTAATGGGTTACTACTTTTAGCTGGTGCTTAGTGACGCACCTGGATCACAGCCTTAGTGCACTATACAAACGAGTAGAGGTGGTTGAGACTTGATAAGATTTTTTGTGTGCAACTGGGAAATTTTTTTGTGAACTGATAAACCCAACGAACTTGCCTGGAAATTGTTGATAAAGGTCAGAACATTTTCTCCTATTATGACAATGTAACATTTTCAGTATATATGTGATTTTAAACATAACTTTTATCTGTAATACTGTTTAGACAGAGATTTCTCACAAAGCACTCCCGATTTATTTTTATAATGATATGGAAAGTCACTTCATTCTGTGATGATTATATTTTAAAAACCTTGAGAACCATGCTTTCCAGTTCGGTACCATACCATAGAAGAAATGTTCTCAGTCAGGGTACATATTGTCAGATACTACTGGACTGCTTCAGGTGCACAATATTTTCACTTCAGACTTACTGACAAAACAATCTCAGATTTTTAAGTCTCTTCTAAAAGAATCAATTACTAGTTTAAATGTGATTTAGTTTTTTTTTAAAGAAAGACAGGTGTACTATTGATAGCACCAGTTTGAAGGTTTCCAAACAGGCATAAATATTTACCTCAGTTTTTATGGACTGATTGGATCAGGAGAATTAGGGCTTGAATGAAAATTCAGTTACAGCAATACTTTCTTAATCAAAAGTGTTGGGCTGCTCTCTAATTGTAAACTGGTGATAGATCATTTTGTGATACTAGGCAGGTGATCTAATGTGAACATGAGATGGTAGAATATCAGGTAGAAGATACTTGGAAGCTAGGAGGTGCTTCATTTTCAAAGAATTTGAATATATTTTGCAATTATTGTATTTTTGTTTTTGCGTGGATTCTGACCCACACGAAGTTCTGCACTCTAGAGACAGCACTTGCAGGAATTCTCAGCTTGAAGCTCCTAGCTCTAATACATAGTAATGTAGGAATAATTTTGTTAAATAAATTATAGAAACATCATCACAACATTGATAATATCTGAAATAATTCTACTTTTATTTTATGAATTTTAAAAGATATTACATCGGTTTTGTCTCCATTTACTCAAAGCCAGGAGCACCACTAGTTGATATTGACATGTTTGACAACCAGATACTAGAGTGGACATTCCAATGTCTTAACCGTGCTCTTCTGTATTAATCCCTCAGTGAAGGGACAAGAGATGCTTCACAATCCAGCCTATTTCATCAATTTAGCATACGATTGAAGAGGCAGCAAGGATGTTGGTTTGTACTCAAAGAATGTAAATAACAATGGACAAATTGTTTTTTAAGTAACTGAGCATTAAATGTTGTGTTTTCTAGAGCACATAGACATTCTACCACAGACTTGCTCAAATGTTCTTTCCATGAAAGTAAAGCTTTTAGAGCAGAAAGTTCTGAAAGTGGTTTCTAAGTTCCTGTTCCTACAGAGACAGCAGATACAGTAAGGAAATCTTGTACCCAGATGAACCATAGTTCATCCTGTTATGCCTTCAGGTGTTACACCTTTGCGTAAGGTGTTACACCTTTATCATGCCTTGCAACTTTTTCTTTCTTATTTCTAACTTGTGACATTTTTTCTGGGGCCGTGTCAGCATGACAGAATCTTCCTCATTTTCATATAGTTTAATTGAAGCTTTCTCATTGAGAGAGGGATCTGGCCTATACATTAAGTATAATATCTTGACAAGTAGAACGCTTGAAACATTTTATTCAAGTCATTTTCACATAAACTTGCAACCATAATACGGGCATGTAACACAAGAATATGAAAGTGCAATGAAGAATACAAAGCTAGTGCCTGAATATTATAAATTAGAGCTCTTCAGATAAAGATGCAAAGTTACTGAAATTAAGACTCTTGGAAGAAAAGTGAAGGAAATAATGAAAAACCTTCCAAAAAG